GGATGCCAGTTCATGGGCAGCAAGGTTCCTACTGAAACAGGTCTGAAAGAAGAATTCTGAACTCCCAACACGGAAGAAAAAGAGGGGAAAAAAGCACACAAAACTAAGGACTCTTAGTTGCTCCTTCATACCCTTATCTGCCTCTCACCCAGAATCCCACTGAGGTATTTTGGGGCTGTTCTGCAGCAAACTTCTGGTGGCTTTTCTGAAGCTTTCCTGAATTTCCATCTAGTGAACAGATGGCATTGTTTTCAAATGAAGAGCAAGAGAATGTCGTGTACTCAAACACTGAAAGCTTGAGAAAACACACAGAGCATGGGTAGTAATCAGAAGGGGAAAGAACTTGGTATGTCAACAGCGAGCTAGACTCTGTGCAAAGCAAGAAGCCAGCTGCAGCCCTGTCTGGTAATGTAGGCCCTGCTGAGGATGTGAAGGTGGAGGGTGCACCTACACGGATGTGGTGCTCAACAGGCAGTAGGCTAGGCTGGGGTCTCATTCACAAGCATGACTGAATGGTGCTCTCTCTCTGTATACAAAGTTCCTCTGATGTGCTTGGCCCTGCGGGCTCAGAAAAGAAAAGAGCCAGTCCTCAGGGGCTATCAGCACGGTTGTGGAGACAGATGCATAAAAGATCTACACGGGAATGAGAGCAGAGAGCAGAGGCTCCTACTCAGCCGGACATATCACCCCAGGGGCCAGGGGAACATGATATCTGAGCTGAGTCTAATGTGACTGGGAGCCGGCCAGGAGAGCTGGTAATGAGGCTAAGGAAAGGACATGGCTAAGGGCATTCTGGACAGAAGGGTCAATGTAAGCAAGGACATGGAGGTCCCAGGAGTGAGGTGAGTACACAGATGTTATACAAGCAGCATAGCAGGACTGGAGAGGGCAGGGAGTGGTGAAAAAGAGAAGTTATGGATGCAAACTGGGGATTAGAAAATATCTGAATATAGGGAAATAGATGAGCACAACATTACACAAGTTCATACAAACAGACTTGCAAAACAAGGTGCACCCTATCAATAAACCTGCTCATAAGGTGGAGGGCATGGGCATATTTGGTAATAGAACTACATTGCCAAGATCAACAGGCTTCACAAGGAAGAATTAGTCATTTAATTATTTAATCTAAACACAGAGAGAACAAGTGCTGAGTGCCAGGCACTGGAAGCCCCACGGTGAACACTATATTCCTAACAAAATGACCAGCACTGGGCACTCGGAGACTATATGACTGGCCAGGGATGCAATGTGAGCACTCCAAGGACAGCTGTTGAATGAATAAAGGAATGACCAGTTTGAGTCCCTGCCCAAGGAGCTCATAGTTTACTGGAAGAATCAGAGAGGTAAGCAGATGATTATGTCAGATGATTAGAGTTAAGATAGACCTGGGGATTTGTCCTAAACATATCTTCAAGAGCCAGGAAAATAAAATACCTAAATGAAGAGACCTCAGGTGTGAGGTGATAGGGACGAGTGGGGAGTACAGCCAGTGAACAGGATGTTGACAGGGACAGTGCTCCTCAACTCCTGCTAAATAAGGACGAAAGGATGCTGGGAATTTGTGTTTTTATCAAGTGAAATGTCACTGTCTAAACTGGTTACTTCCTCATGCCCAGGATTCCAGCATGGCCAACCTGGTACCAATATAGAGGTGATGGCATAGAGAGAAAGGGACATTGGTTGGCAAGGCACAAAACCTGAAAAACTGCCTTTCTGGATGGACATGGCCTGCAAGAGTGATCTGCACAATCAGACGAGGCCGCTGCAGGCCTCACGGCCAAGAGGGCAAACAACAACAGGCACTGTCAGCAGTCAGGCCCCCACCTCCTGGCCACCCACAGGGCTCATATGCACCTGGCCAAGGGCCTGACTTTAGGGCAATCTCTGGCTTTCTTAGGCCAAGACCTGGCTGCAGGCAAGCCCCTCCCCCAGATAGGACCTGAGTGCCGGTTGTAATTTCCTGGCCACAGGGATGTGTTTGGGGCTGTTTGTTCTGCAGAAGGAAACAGAAGATGGCAGTGTGTCTGAATCCTGCTCCTCCTCCTGCCCTGCTGCCTCCCCCACCACATAAAAGCGGCTGAACAAACAGAGAAATCAAAGATGATTATACACTGCTGGAAACCGCGTGCTTCCGCCTGGCTGCACCCTTCTGCCAAACTCTTATGCAATCCATGGCTCCACTCAGGCCTGGAACCAAACAGAGATGCCATTGACAGCCCATCCATGGTCTGCTCATTGCCACATCTTTCCTCAGATCCTGTGTCACCTGGAGTAGGCCTGCCCCAGGGACAGGAAGGCCACGGAACAAGCTGACCAGCTGCTTTGACATTTGTTTGGGGATTTCCCTCTCCCCCTTCCCAGCCAGCTCAGAGGTAGGGGTGGGTCAGCACCAGGAGTTTACTTTGGCCGGATTCCAAGCGACTAAGACATTTTATACTGGAAAACTCCATTTGACAATCTGGGGGTGGGTGGGTGTTCTTTACCTCACAAAGTGAATAATTCGCTTTGGCTGTTGAGATACCAGAGCTGAACAAGTGACCCCTGGAGCCTGAGGTGACCTCCTGGCCAGAAAGGACCTGGCCATACTGCTCTGATGACCAATACTTATTTCTATTTAGGGATTCTGGGCATGTCCCTCAGCCCTAAACCACCTAAATGGGCTAATAAGAGCTTTTCCTTTGAAGAGTCAGTGACTGGGGTAAATGAGTGGAATTTATCTCAAGAGTTCACTTTTTCTTTCTGCATCACATGATTTGGAATACTCAATGGGTCCTACAGCAACTGCTCTTTAAATGTTAATTCCAACTTTTTGGATGGTTATCATTGGATCTGAAATGAGGGCCCAGCTCTTAGTGTCGACACTGTTTAGGAATTTATATATTCATATCTATTCCATACTGGGCTTCCATTCCTCTCCCTTTTGCAGCCCTAAATAACTACACCCTAGTGTGAGAGGCTCAGATATCATAGAAGGGGTCTGAACTTTGGAGTCAGATAAGACCGTTGGAGATATAGATGGTCTTCCAGAGGCTATGTGACCTTGTACTTCAGCCTTGCTTAGCCTTGCTAAGTCCCTGAAATTTACTGGTTTCCATTCATTTTCTTACAACACTTTAGAAAACCACAAGGTTTCCAAAGAGGCTGATTCTGGCTTTGGAGAATGGCTGACTATGTCCATCTCTTGTTTGTTTCATCACAGGAAGAGTAAATAAGGGATCCAGAGCACAATATCCTTCACTGATTGGTGAGACTGCCCTAGAAGTGAGGAGCTGAACTGGAATCTCAGGCTCAGTCCCCTTTCCTGGCCCTCATCTCTTTTCCTGTTAACCCCAGAGGAAGCCCCTCACAAGCCGAAGGGCCTGTGTGGTTGTCCAACACTTTCTCACTCTTGATGACCTCGGTGCTGTATCTTATAGTTGATGTAGATATCTTCTCCAAGGAAGATGGCTAGCAGATCCATATTTCCTTACACAAGGATTTTGAAAAATCTCAATCCAAAGAAGGAACTGACTTTTCTAGATCCCAATCTGTAGAAGGACTGGTCAACAAGTCTCTGAATCCTGTTAAAGAAGGGATTTATGGTGGTACGCCATAAGCACCATAGTAGGGACAGAGTACACTAAATATCTTGAGAACCATTCTCACTAAGTTTTGCACTATAAGCACACCATGAAAGCAATAAGTTGCTGCCCCACTGAACCAACCTCAGGTCCTAACCCTCTTCTTCAGGGAAGCGTTGCTTCCTACTCTGCTTCAAGATGATCCTTGGCTAGGAAATGAAATGTGGGTCTGAATTCAGTAAAGCTTAGGTTCTTTTGTATGACCCAACTCTCCCAGTCCAGAAAGATGAAAATCCTTATTCCTGAAATCCAGTGGCCTCTGTGAGTGAGCTCATTCAACCCTTGATGGCTTTCTGGATAATAATTAAACTCATGTTGACCAGCCTCATTTGTTGTTATCTTAAAAATGAGAGTAATGGTGTGGTTGGGATGGGGACCTGGGAAGTAAGCCTTTCTGAGTATCTTTCTCCCTCTGCCCAGCTGCTGGCCTTTTGCCTAGCCATTCAGTCTCAGACAAGAGCCTCCCTTCTCCTCTCTGCCTGAAGAATGGGGATGAAAGTAACATGGAGTTGAAAGATCTTGACTAAGGGAATTGGTTTCTTCATAAAACGTGCTCTCTCTATCTGGCTAGGGCAGGGCAGATAACAGGAAAACCAGCCCAGTGAAAGCATTGAGGATGTAACAACCATGCCTCCACAATGGGCACATCTAGAATGGGATGCTTAGGACCAGAAAACACCTTCGTGTGCCTGAGAATTAATGGAGGAAAAAGGTGGGTAGCCTACCAGCCTGGTATCATGAGATCAGCATTTTGGAAGCCTCTACCTCAACCCCAGGCATGATGACTACAACGCAACAGGTCTTAAAAGATGGACAGAGGGGCCTGGGTCAGCTAAATGCAGTTCACTTCCCAAAGATACCGATAACAAAGTTATTAAGTATGTGACACATAATTTTTGCCAATCATGCTTTGTCTATAAAATTAAAAAAAAAAAAAGCGTCAGGAATCAATGACATATATGGTAAGATTTAGAGACACACAAATACTCCAGTGTATAATTTTGGAATTTCGACACTAAACTTTAGTCATTAATGATTACTGCTCAGTCTAATCTGGGCCATAATCTTATAGTATGTAAATCAATTGCTTCTGAAAGTTTCTAAGGATAAAAAGTTCTTTGGAATATGCACGTAACTTTGGGGAATGATTTGTTTTTAAAATAAACTTTATTTTTTATAAGCTTTGCAGAAAAATTGTAAAGAGAGTACAGAATTCCTTTGTCACCCTGTTTCCCCTCCGAGTCACATCTTACATGAGTACGGTATATTGTGACAATTAATGAACCCATATTGATACATTATTATTACCTAAAACCTGTTCTTCAGAGAATGGGGTTTTACAGAAATGAGCACTAAAATACCTCAGAAGTGTCTCACCTCAGAGTTCCGGTGACAGGATGATCTCTGTGGACCTTAGATCTCTCCCATCTGCTCTTGGAACATTCACTGGCTGTTGCTCTGCTGTCTTCTTTCTTCAAAAAAAAGAAAAAAAATGTTTTTCTGGTCTAAGACCTCGGCTCTCCACTGTGAAGCAGCTCCCACACACCTGGTTTTAAGTTGTTCTCCTCAAAAGTGTTTTGAGGCAGCAGTGGAGTGAACCAGAATCAAACAGACTGAATCCCAGATCTGCCATTTATAGTTTATCAGGCCTCATTTACTTTATCAAGCCTCATTTTTCTCTCCCACAAAATAGAAATAATAACTCTATATTCCTGATTGATTTGTTATGAGGACTAAATAAAGACATTTCAAAAGCACTCAGCACAGTGCCAGGCATACAATAGTAGCCCAATAATGGTAGTATCGCTAAGCTGAAAGTTGAGGCCTTTTTGAAAAATCAGCTGTGGTCAATAGAACAAATCAATGTGTAATCAAGATCAATTTGTTGAAAATAGCTTTTCAACAAAGAGCAATTTCAAAGACCGGTATTTCAAAGATAGTCACAGAAATATAAACATCATTGCCTGAAGAATTCCCTTCAAATGGGAAAGAAAAAGGTAATTATAGGGACTACTGATGTGAAAACATTTGAGCAACTACCCACAGTGCTAAATAAGGACGAAAGGATGCTGGGAATTTGTGTTTTTATCAAGTGAAATGTCACTGTCTAAACTGGTTACTTCCTCATGCCCAGGATTCCAGCATGGCCAACCTGGTACCAATATAGAGGTGATGGCATAGAGAGAAAGGGACATTGGTTGGCAAGGCACAAAACCTGAAAAACTGCCTTTCTGGATGGACATGGCCTGCAAGAGTGATCTGCACAATCAGACGAGGCCGCTGCAGGCCTCACGGCCAAGAGGGCAAACAACAACAGGCACTGTCAGCAGTCAGGCCCCCACCTCCTGGCCACCCACAGGGCTCATATGCACCTGGCCAAGGGCCTGACTTTAGGGCAATCTCTGGCTTTCTTAGGCCAAGACCTGGCTGCAGGCAAGCCCCTCCCCCAGATAGGACCTGAGTGGCGGTTGTAATTTCCTGGCCACAGGGATGTGTTTGGGGCTGTTTGTTCTGCAGAAGGAAACAGAAGATGGCAGTGTGTCTGAATCCTGCTCCTCCTCCTGCCCTGCTGCCTCCCCCACCACATAAAAGCGGCTGAACAAACAGAGAAATCAAAGATGATTATACACTGCTGGAAACCGCGTGCTTCCGCCTGGCTGCACCCTTCTGCCAAACTCTTATGCAATCCATGGCTCCACTCAGGCCTGGAACCAAACAGAGATGCCATTGACAGCCCATCCATGGTCTGCTCATTGCCACATCTTTCCTCAGATCCTGTGTCACCTGGAGTAGGCCTGCCCCAGGGACAGGAAGGCCACGGAACAAGCTGACCAGCTGCTTTGACATTTGTTTGGGGATTTCCCTCTCCCCCTTCCCAGCCAGCTCAGAGGTAGGGGTGGGTCAGCACCAGGAGTTTACTTTGGCCGGATTCCAAGCGACTAAGACATTTTATACTGGAAAACTCCATTTGACAATCTGGGGGTGGGTGGGTGTTCTTTACCTCACAAAGTGAATAATTCGCTTTGGCTGTTGAGATACCAGAGCTGAACAAGTGACCCCTGGAGCCTGAGGTGACCTCCTGGCCAGAAAGGACCTGGCCATACTGCTCTGATGACCAATACTTATTTCTATTTAGGGATTCTGGGCATGTCCCTCAGCCCTAAACCACCTAAATGGGCTAATAAGAGCTTTTCCTTTGAAGAGTCAGTGACTGGGGTAAATGAGTGGAATTTATCTCAAGAGTTCACTTTTTCTTTCTGCATCACATGATTTGGAATACTCAATGGGTCCTACAGCAACTGCTCTTTAAATGTTAATTCCAACTTTTTGGATGGTTATCATTGGATCTGAAATGAGGGCCCAGCTCTTAGTGTCGACACTGTTTAGGAATTTATATATTCATATCTATTCCATACTGGGCTTCCATTCCTCTCCCTTTTGCAGCCCTAAATAACTACACCCTAGTGTGAGAGGCTCAGATATCATAGAAGGGGTCTGAACTTTGGAGTCAGATAAGACCGTTGGAGATATAGATGGTCTTCCAGAGGCTATGTGACCTTGTACTTCAGCCTTGCTTAGCCTTGCTAAGTCCCTGAAATTTACTGGTTTCCATTCATTTTCTTACAACACTTTAGAAAACCACAAGGTTTCCAAAGAGGCTGATTCTGGCTTTGGAGAATGGCTGACTATGTCCATCTCTTGTTTGTTTCATCACAGGAAGAGTAAATAAGGGATCCAGAGCACAATATCCTTCACTGATTGGTGAGACTGCCCTAGAAGTGAGGAGCTGAACTGGAATCTCAGGCTCAGTCCCCTTTCCTGGCCCTCATCTCTTTTCCTGTTAACCCCAGAGGAAGCCCCTCACAAGCCGAAGGGCCTGTGTGGTTGTCCAACACTTTCTCACTCTTGATGACCTCGGTGCTGTATCTTATAGTTGATGTAGATATCTTCTCCAAGGAAGATGGCTAGCAGATCCATATTTCCTTACACAAGGATTTTGAAAAATCTCAATCCAAAGAAGGAACTGACTTTTCTAGATCCCAATCTGTAGAAGGACTGGTCAACAAGTCTCTGAATCCTGTTAAAGAAGGGATTTATGGTGGTACGCCATAAGCACCATAGTAGGGACAGAGTACACTAAATATCTTGAGAACCATTCTCACTAAGTTTTGCACTATAAGCACACCATGAAAGCAATAAGTTGCTGCCCCACTGAACCAACCTCAGGTCCTAACCCTCTTCTTCAGGGAAGCGTTGCTTCCTACTCTGCTTCAAGATGATCCTTGGCTAGGAAATGAAATGTGGGTCTGAATTCAGTAAAGCTTAGGTTCTTTTGTATGACCCAACTCTCCCAGTCCAGAAAGATGAAAATCCTTATTCCTGAAATCCAGTGGCCTCTGTGAGTGAGCTCATTCAACCCTTGATGGCTTTCTGGATAATAATTAAACTCATGTTGACCAGCCTCATTTGTTGTTATCTTAAAAATGAGAGTAATGGTGTGGTTGGGATGGGGACCTGGGAAGTAAGCCTTTCTGAGTATCTTTCTCCCTCTGCCCAGCTGCTGGCCTTTTGCCTAGCCATTCAGTCTCAGACAAGAGCCTCCCTTCTCCTCTCTGCCTGAAGAATGGGGATGAAAGTAACATGGAGTTGAAAGATCTTGACTAAGGGAATTGGTTTCTTCATAAAACGTGCTCTCTCTATCTGGCTAGGGCAGGGCAGATAACAGGAAAACCAGCCCAGTGAAAGCATTGAGGATGTAACAACCATGCCTCCACAATGGGCACATCTAGAATGGGATGCTTAGGACCAGAAAACACCTTCGTGTGCCTGAGAATTAATGGAGGAAAAAGGTGGGTAGCCTACCAGCCTGGTATCATGAGATCAGCATTTTGGAAGCCTCTACCTCAACCCCAGGCATGATGACTACAACGCAACAGGTCTTAAAAGATGGACAGAGGGGCCTGGGTCAGCTAAATGCAGTTCACTTCCCAAAGATACCGATAACAAAGTTATTAAGTATGTGACACATAATTTTTGCCAATCATGCTTTGTCTATAAAATTAAAAAAAAAAAAAGCGTCAGGAATCAATGACATATATGGTAAGATTTAGAGACACACAAATACTCCAGTGTATAATTTTGGAATTTCGACACTAAACTTTAGTCATTAATGATTACTGCTCAGTCTAATCTGGGCCATAATCTTATAGTATGTAAATCAATTGCTTCTGAAAGTTTCTAAGGATAAAAAGTTCTTTGGAATATGCACGTAACTTTGGGGAATGATTTGTTTTTAAAATAAACTTTATTTTTTATAAGCTTTGCAGAAAAATTGTAAAGAGAGTACAGAATTCCTTTGTCACCCTGTTTCCCCTCCGAGTCACATCTTACATGAGTACGGTATATTGTGACAATTAATGAACCCATATTGATACATTATTATTACCTAAAACCTGTTCTTCAGAGAATGGGGTTTTACAGAAATGAGCACTAAAATACCTCAGAAGTGTCTCACCTCAGAGTTCCGGTGACGGGATGATCTCTGCGGACCTTAGATCTCTCCCACCTGCTCTTGGAACATTCACTGGCTGTTGCTCTGCTGCCTTCTTTCTTCAAAAAAAAGAAAAAAAATGTTTTTCTGGTCTAAGACCTCGGCTCTCCACTGTGAAGCAGCTCCCACACACCTGGCTTTAAGTTGTTCTCCTCAAAAGTGTTTTGAGGCAGCAGTGGAGTGAACCAGAATCAAACAGACTGAATCCCAGATCTGCCATTTATAGTTTATCAGGCCTCATTTACTTTATCAAGCCTCATTTTTCTCTCCCACAAAATAGAAATAATAACTCTATATTCCTGATTGATTTGTTATGAGGACTAAATAAAGACATTTCAAAAGCACTCAGCACAGTGCCAGGCATACAATAGTAGCCCAATAATGGTAGTATCGCTAAGCTGAAAGTTGAGGCCTTTTTGAAAAATCAGCTGTGGTCAATAGAACAAATCAATGTGTAATCAAGATCAATTTGTTGAAAATAGCTTTTCAACAAAGAGCAGTTTCAAAGACCGGTATTTCAAAGATAGTCACAGAAATATAAACATCATTGCCTGAAGAATTCCCTTCAAATGGGAAAGAAAAAGGTAATTATAGGGACTACTGATGTGAAAACATTTGAGCAACTACCCACAGGCTTTCTCTGCTCTACCATTCCACTTGAAGGATTAAAATCAGTAAATGTTTATGGTGGTACATATGTCTGTTGAGGCACTGTTTAGGAAGAGAAGATGTCTCAGCTAATTAGGAACAGCACGGAGATCTGGCCCCTCTCCATCCTCAGTTCCTATTGGCCACATCCCACCTCACCACATTCTCTGATACTCCAGCCACGTGAACAACTGCAACTGATCAAATGTGGAGGCTCTCTTGCCTTCCATGCCTGTGCACTCTCTACTCCTCCTGCCTGAGTGCACCCTGTACCTTTGCCTGCCTTACAGATTCTTCCAGACTCAGCTCAGCGTTCAGCAACTCTGGGAAGTGCCCCCAGCCTCTGCTGTTCTGGTTCAACATGCTCCTGCAGGCTCCCAGGCGCCATTCTCATAGCGTTTAACCTGCTTCATCTCCTTCCACCTCACTCTGCCATAAGCACCGTAAGGAGGTCAAGTCCAGCATGGGCCCCGGGACATGATAAATGCTCAGACAAAGTGGGGGTAGTGCCTATTCTCTGATTATCTGCGATCCCCAGCGCTGCCGATTCTTCTCTCAAACTCTGAAATAGAAGCAGTTAGGGAGGGTACATGGATCTGGTGAAAGTTGCATTTTCATACTTGAAGCATAAATGAGAAAATTTTAAAGGTTTCTCTTTAAAAATATAATTAAAACCAGTGCAGGATTAAACCACAATGGATATTTTGTGCAGTGGTTTCCAGGCCCCGGTGCATGAAACAACATTGGTCTGTGTGATGTTTTCTTAAGTTCATGTGTATTTTTCTAAAAAAATTGTCCCCTATCTTGCAAAGGGGTGTTCAGTGCTGAAAGCAGGGCCTCCACAGCTGAGATGGCCTTGGAGAGCTGTGTCCTGCACCCCAGTTCCTTCTTCTCTCCCAGGACACTGTCTGGTCTGCCCCTGCTCATCTTCCTATAAATAGTGGCCATTGTGATTAGTTCAGCTGAGAAAACAAAAGTAAAGTAATTCTTTGAGATCCCACAGCTACCAAGTTTTGAAATTAGGATCCAGACCCACCAGTCTGATTCTGGAGCATTTAGCCACTGTCTTCTTCTTCAGCTGTCACCTGCTCACACCATAGGCTTTGTGTCCAGAAGGATGGAGCCTCCCTGCATGAGCCAAGCTGACACACACAGATCCATTTGGCATGTACATCGATCCCAGACTGGATTCCATCCCTGCCCAGTGTCACTCAGGAAGTAGTATATTCCTCCTGACTCTCCTCTTCTCTATCCTGGGGAGTCCTCTGGGACTGGTTAGGATGACATTTCAGGATGGATAAAGAAGGGCCTTTACACCTGATAATATATCCAGGGTGGATAAAGCGGGACCTTTATGCCTCAGCTCTGTACCTGAGAATTACAGGAGAATTTCTAATGGTAGGAATAGTGCCCTGGGTCAAATCGTTTTACAGTGGCCTCCAAAAATCTCTTTAAGTAAGTTGGACAAAACCTTTAGACCAAGATAAGTGGGTCTTTACTGGGGTTTGGTCATTTTTTTATACATGTAAGTTTCTTCGTTATAATTTTGGTGTCTTCTTGGCATGGAAATTTAGCCTTAGATGAAACATTCACTGCAGGACCCTTGTCACTTTTTGGTTAAATTCTCAGCATTTGTGGTCTGTAAGTCAAGGCAGCAATATGCATACAGTTGCAGTACAGATTCCCATGCGAAGAGTCCTTGGACCCAGAGCTAAGGATTTTCTGGATGTGACTCCAGACACAGGCCTGGAGCAACGGCCGTCTGTCCTCAGGCTGAGAGGACCACAGGACAGGTGAGCTGGCTGGCGGTGCTGAGGGAGGCGCGCCCAGGTTCTGCTTAGCACCCTGCCCTCAGAGAAGAGGCTGTTATTTTTGTCTCAAAGTTGTCATCTTGACTGACAACATTCTTTCCCTTCAAAGTGACGAGTTAGCACAGAGGCCAACTAGGAGCTAATTCGGAAATGAAAACCCAGGGAGCAGTGGTGAGGACAGACAGAAGCAGAAAGCGTACTCACGCATACCCTCCGGCTCTGCCGTTTCAGGCCCACAGCGAGTTAGCCTTGCTGTTCTTGCTGGGAGATTATTCTTGTGGGTTTGGCACAAGACCACGATCTGGGAGAGAGAGAGCAAAGTCTATGGATATGGTTGCCTTTTCTCTGGGCCAACGAGTGCCTTGTTTTACTGTGAGCCTGCCCCTGTGGGAACCCTGCGAGAGGGTAAAGTTTCCCTCTTTGTCTGCAGCACACTTCATTTCCCAGGGAGCCAAGCTGGGAACAGAGCCGCCTCTCACACAGCTCATGAATGACTCCATTTTACCCAGGACTCCATTGTCTAGCTGTCATGCCGTCTTGTATAGGTGTTCCCTGCAGTCCCGGCTGTTATGTAACGCCTGTTGAAGGAACACTGCGTGAGAGCGAGAGAGATTGGAGGCGGAAAGGAAAAACCCAGAGGGGAGCCCAGACCCAAATGCCTTCCTGGAGAAGGAAAAACAAAATGCTAGCCATTTGTCAGCTCTTTTCCTCTGGCTTGTTTGCCTGAGTGATAAACTTTGATTGCTGGCTTACAAAGCCCCGTGGCTGGCTCAAGTGGACGTTTCTGTTTATAGCTCTAAGATGGGACGTGCTGTACCCTCATGCCTCACCAGGGCGGCTGCCACCGAGGTTCTCCCATGAAACCCTGACAAGAAATCCTCCCCCCTCTTGCCTACAGCCGAGGAGGAAAGGACTTGGCCCTCCTCAGTCACCACTCACTATGCCTCCCTCCCTCGCTACATCACTGGCCCAGCGCGCATCTCAGGCCTGCTTAGAGAAGCGCACACCCCCTTGGGCTTACCTACAGTAATTTCCAGGTGACCTTGACTCTGTTAGAGTTCAGTGTAGAGCAGCAGGCATCCCTTGGTGTCCATCCATGGGGCCACAGTCCTCCATACTTGCACCACCTGGATGCCATGTTCTGGGTTTTAATGTCATCCACCATCCCTTTTGTCACACTACTAATATTGTGGTGAAATGAATAAAGGCAGAGGTGGAGCTTGTCATTCTTTGTCTGCCCCAGAGATTTCCCTGAGCTTGTGTTGCAAAATACCAGCCCTGTCACCATGTGAAGAGACTTTATGGCAATAAAATAGGATCCATGGCCAGATTATTTGAGGGCAATCCTTGTATTCTCTACCCTACTCTTAGAAAGTTGCAAAGCTTGTTAACATAATATAATAAAACCCTGAAATGTTTGCTAAAGAAACCTTTATCACTTTGATGCACTATTTCCCAAGCTTACCTTGACTGTTAGTCTACAAACTCCGGGAGGACAGGGACTTTGCCTGTGTTGTTCATGATTGATTTTGTAGTTCACAGCCCTGTTGTGGATTCAACTCAATAAAGATATTAAATTTAATTGCAGTGAATTTAATTGACCATTTTTTTCCAAGTCATATCCATTAGCTTCCTATAGAACTAATGTTCCATGGAACCCACTTTGGTGAATGGTGGTCTACATCATTCATTAATTCTATTAATTACAATGAAAAGAGCATGTGAACCCAAGATTTCTTGCTGGTCCCCACATAAGAACAGGCTGCAGGTGGCTGCTCGGTTCACAGCCCTTTAAACGTATCCCGCCCACCCATGAGCCGTTCCACAGAAAGGATGGATTGCGCTCGTCTCAGATGCTCACCTGGGCCTTCTGACTTACTTCCCCACCCACTCTGTTCTGCTATCTCTGGTTCTTTGAACCCTTGGCTTCACAGACTGCCTCACAGTAGTTTCGTCCAACTGTCTCCTCCTTGTCATAAAAGATCATTAAAACAAAACAAAACCTTAACTCTGTCTTGCTGACATGGGCTTTGGATTTTGAAAAATCTAGATTTGAATCCATATTCTGCCATTTCCTGGCTGTGAAAATTTTTAGAATTGTCTTGTACTCATTCTATGGAACCTCATTCTCCCCTCTGTAAAATGAGGATAGTAATAGCATCTGCCTTACAGAATTGTTGGTGAATTAAATGAGCATGGAAAGCCTCAGCTCAGTGCCTGGCATTTAGCCAGCCCCAGGCACATGGCTGCTATTATTCAGTTGAGTTGCTTTCCCTCTCAGCTTTCAGCCTGCTGCCTTGGTTTGGGCACATGCATACCTCCAGGCAAGCTTTTCTCTCCCTCTGCTGGGTTAGCCCCCTGAGACCCAGTTGGCAGGAGCTCTGGTCCAAGTGTCCTCTGCCTCTGGGGCCTTCTCTCTTTCTGCCTCATCTGTCCCCTCATGGCTGCAGCCTTCATCAGCCCCTTAGATTTACCCCTCCTCCACTTCTTATGTACCCTTGGGGCTCCCACAGGAAAGGGGAACCCTTCATTACCATAGTGTTTTGTAGTTTACAGAATTCTTTCTAATGCCTCATCTCCCTTGTCTACAGAGAAGAAAAAAGTGACTGACTGTTTTGAGGTTACACAGAAATCATATGTAGGGGCTGGGTTTGAATGCAGGTCTAGCTTCAGAGGCAGCGCTCGCCCTCACCACCTCACCACAGCTCTCCCCTGGGTAATTGTGAAGCATAGTGGAGGTGGAAGGCTATCTCCCTGACCCCTGAGGACCTTGTCACTGATATTCCCCTTCTACCTCCACTTCCATCCCAGACATGGTCTTGCACAGCAATAAAAGGACCTGGAGAGAGAGGACATGGAAAGAAAGGAAGATATGGGGGAGGAAAGGGAAGGTAGACCAGCTGATGCTCCGATTGCATGTCTCAGATTCTGGTCTTGCTCCGTAACTCAGGTGCTCCTCTTTCCAGATCAGGGGCACAGGGAATGCCCATACCCATACCCAGCATCAGAAAACAAAGATATTCAATGGAACAGGTAGAAGGAAGTTCTGAGAGTCCGGGAGAGCCTCTACCACCTCTGGGCTTGAAGAGGTGCGGGGAGGGAAGTTACAAGAACCTTGAAGCAGAGAGTCTGTGGGCAGGAGATGTGGACAGCCTACAGAGACCCCCCAGAGACCAGGCAGAGCGATATCCAAACCCACTCTCCCTGCTGGTGCTTCCCGTTAGCCAAACACGGCCGGAAGGACGAGAAAGCCCTTGGGGCAGCCCAGGCAGACAGCAAGCCGGAGCAGGGTGACATGAGAGCCAGATAGAAACAGATGATAGAGGATTTAGCCAGAGAGCTGGACACATGATAAAAGATACAAAAAAGAAGTTCTAGAATTAAAAAATAAATGATCACAACTAGGAACTTTAATTTCAAATTAAATTAATGAATGACTTTAGTAGCTGTTAAGCTCCAACTGAAATGAGAATTTGTGAGTTGGGAGAAGGTCAGAAGACAATAGATATAATGAATTGTGGAGAGAAAAAGGATAGAAAATACACAAAAGATGGTTAAGAGATATAGAATATTCAGTGAGAAGATCTAATCTCTTTGTGCTTAAAGTGTCAGAAGAAAGCTTATACTTCAGGAAAGGGAACCAATGAAGTTAGCATCTAATAGAATTACTTTTTTAAATGTAATTCCCAAGTTAATAAATGGGAAAGTGGAATAATAAAAACTCATAATATAATAGAAGTCAAAAAATGGAAAGAAGAATGAAATAGGATAGATGGGAGATGCTATCCTTTCTGTAAGGAATGCTAAGTTTAATGCTAAGTAAGACTCCAGGTTTAAACCCAAACATATTACCAAATATAAACATGTTTTTTAAAAAAGATTGTTGGGATTTAAAAAAAAACAGCAATTATAACCTGTTTATAAGAGATACACCCCTAAAACATAATGATACAGGAAGGCTGAAAGTAAAAGAATAGAAAAACCACACCAGGAAAATAAGTAAAAGAAAGATGGGAGAGCTATACATCAATTGTACAACATAGAATTTAGGACAAAAGGCACTATTGGCAATTGAGAGATATTCACTTCATATGATAAAATTTAAATCACCAGAAAAATGCAATAATCCTAATTTTGTGTGCACTACTAACATAGCCCACAAAAGTACAAAGCACAGCTGAGAGAGAAACAAATCCCTTGTGATAATGGGAATAGTTTTAACATACTTCTCACAGTAAATGATACAGCAAGCAGATAAAAGTCATTAATCACATCAATTTGAACAACACAATCAATACACTTGATGTAATGTACACTTACAAAACTGCAGGCGATATATATTTCTTCCGAGCACACAAAGAAAATTCACAGAAATTGACCACATGCTAAATCATGCCTCAAATTTCAAATGATTGAAGTAATTTAAAGTGTTTCTCTGGAAAAAAAATAACAAAGAGATAACTCCAAGATGCTCATATGATTGAAAATTCAGTCAAAGAAGAAGCAATGATGGAAATTAGAATCAAAAGTATAAAGATATCACTTCCCCCCAAACTCATCTGCAGATTCAAACAATTTCTCCAAAAAAAAAAATAATGACACCTTTCTTTTTTCTTCTGTGGAAACTAATGAGCTGATTCTAAATGTTATGGTTATACAAAGGGCTAAGAACAACCAAAGACACTCTTCAAAAAGAAGAGCAATGTGCAAGAAATCACTCTACTGAATATTAAGATTATCAAGCTGCAGAAATTAAGATTATGGAATTGGCATAAGGGCAGTCAAAAGACCAGTGAAACCAAAGAGCAGGTTCATTTATGGACCCCTGATCTATTATGAAAATGACACTGAAGACTATTGAGGAAAGTTTGGTCCTTTCAACAAATTTTCTAAGACATTTTGGATGTCCAGACTGAATAACAAAAAAGAAATTGAAGCTTTACCTAACACCATCATAAAAATTAATTTCTGGTATCAATTAGATCCAAATGTGAAAGGTAAAATAAGAAACCTTCTAAAGACAATATAGGAGAATCCAATTATGATTTGGGGATAAAGGAAAGATATCTTAACCAGTTCACCAAGAACACTAACCACCAAAGAAAACATTGATAAATTACACCATAGTAAAATTAATAACTTTGGCTCACCCAAAGATACCTCTTAATGTGGGTGGAAAGATAAGCCACATAGTATAAGATATTTACAATACATATTATAGGCCACAAAATTGCAAACAAATTATGTAGCACTATTACAGATCAGTAAAAAAAACTACTCAGTAGAGAAGTGGAATTTGAATAGTCATATCATAAAAGAATATTCAAATGACATTGAATGACTGTTATACATTCACCAGAATGGCTAAAATTAAAAGGACTGAACATATTAAATATCGACAAGGATATGGAGAAACAGAAACCCGTGAACTGCTGGCAGGAATACACCTACTTAAAAACATTGTTTGGCATTATCTACTAAAGTAACTTGCGACCTAGGAATTCCACTCCTTAGATACATGCTCACAGAGATGTGAGTATGTGTGCGCCAAAAGACATGGACCAGAATAGTCATCAGAGCAGTACCTGTAAGAACCCAAACTCAAAATAATCCAAAAGTCCACCACCAACAAGATGGGCAAATAAATTGGGTGCTAGTTACACAATGAGGAGTCATAAACTTGTCAACATGAGAAACTACAGCCACAAATAATTACACAAATATAGCTTATGAACATAAGATTAAGGAAAAAAAATCAGGCACAAGAAAGAACATGCATTGTGTGATTCCATTCATAGAAATTAAATTAAAAAAAGATAAAACTAAACTGTAGTGTTTGGGGATTAATACGTATGTGGTGGTAAAACGATAAAGGAAAGAAGCAATTTCCATAAAAGTCAGAGTCGTCTTTTGCTTTGAAGGGAAGGAGGAGGTAAGAATTGAAAGGGGCCAGAAGGGTCACTTCTGGAGTTCTGGCAATGTCTATTTCTTGATTTTTACATGGAGGTTTGCTTTATGAGGAAGTATGGAGCTGAACATCTTTGTTCGTGTGCTCTTTGGTAGGTGAGTTATAGTTCACAATACAAAAGATTTTATACACACATGCACACACATATTTAACATGATACATATGTTACACTCCCAGTTCCATGCCTGGTGCATAATAGATGCTCAAAGGAGGTGAGACTGCTACTCTTCCCCCATTCCTTCCTTTTGAGCAGAGAGAAGAGGAAATGTGAATTTCATAAATACCTCAATTCCCAAGTACGGGCACGACTATTCTCTCACTTTTTTATGACAATCTCATTGCCATGGCAACTGCAATCAAAGGTTGACCCTGTAAAGAGAAGGAGGGATGTGGGCACGACCGTGTGAACTTGATTACCTCCATTACGAGGAAATCCTTGCTAATAACTGAATTACTGGAGCCTTAAGCCAAAAGCACCCACTAATGGCTAATATGCATGCTTGTTTTATATTTCATTTTCTCGTCTAAAACAAAGCAAAATCTTTGTTTAAAGGCTTACCTTTCCTGCAGATTGCATTTAATCCTATAATAACTGGGTGAGTATTTATAGAGCCAGACATCCTTTGTGCGTCAGAGAAGCAAGAGGCTGGCAAGTGGAGGCATTGTCTTTCCTGCCATCGTCATGTCTGGGGAAGATGCAGGAGGGGGCTGGACGGCGGGCACAGCGGGCTGCGGGCTGCAGGGAGCTGCGGCTCACCTGCTCCTGCTCCGTCCAGCAGGCATGTTTCCGCCCGCACCCTCTGGGCTGGTGTCTGCATCCGCTGCCTGATCTCATTCCTCCTCCCCTTACCCACAGTCACTTGACATATTTAGAACTGGGGAAAAGGGCTAATGATGCTGGGAAAACAACTAAACTCAAGCAGATGAGAAATCAAAGACATCTGAAAATCAAGGAGGTACCAAAGACCAATTTCAATTACCTTTCCCCAAGCCACATCCCCACCCCATGCCCTACTCCCCACCTCCAACCAATTCACCTGAAAAATACCACTCTTGGAATGAGATGAAAGACTGAGATTTCCAGGTCTGAAAATGAGCAACAAGTCCAAAGGACCAAACACTGAAATTACAAAGGACCTCGGAGGCTTATTTTCAGCCGATGTTGAAGTTCTTTCTTGTGACCTCAGCAGCAGTTCTACTTGTAGCAGAGATTTGTTCTGCAAGGGGGGTAAGACTGGAATTCCTGTGGACCAGAAGGAAGTGGGCGACAGGGGAAGGGAGACAGGAGAGGATAGCTGGACCTCACTGTCTTGGACCTGTGAATCAGGTGAGAGGCATTCCACTGGTTTGGTAGAAATGAGAATCTCTGAAGACAAGATTCGTTATTAAATCAGCAAATACAGGGACCTAGAGCACACTGGTAGGGGCAGGAGTTAGACTCTCAACCAGAGAACCATGTCCCTGACTCTGTAAAGACAGAAGGGTGATGTGGCTCAAAAACAGGCTCCAGGTGGGCCTGAGATACCTATGTACACAGCAGCATTGCAGCCTCGATAAAGGGAGGAAAGACAGGCAGAGAATTTGCAGGCAAGACAACCTTCGATTCCTCCATTTTAAGTCTGCAGAAGTCTGGCAGGAGGGGCAAGATGTGAAGAAAAGGAGCAGGAGGCTGTCGTACGTGGCGTGCATCCACAAGGACTCCCCCTATACACGGTCAAGATGGATGGGGGAGAAGGGAACCCCAGGGATATGATGGGGGAAAATTGGTCCTCTACAGAAATACATAAATTGTGTCAAGAACCAGGGAGATTCACTCAAAGCTTGCAAAACTGAAAAACAATCAGAGTAACATCACAGATACCTGTCCGACTATTTTTCAGGGAGTCCAGAACTAGAAAGAAGAGAAAATAAGACATGATTGACAGATGCTAAGATGGCTGCCCATAGGTCAGCTAAGAAGGACACAGGGGTGGAGAGCTGAAGGTATGACGTTCCACCCATCTGGGGCAGGTAAGAGATCCTTCCAGGGCTGAGGCCTCCTGCTGGTCTGGTCATGCTATGATTTCCGGAATGGACTAGTGCAGAGGCAACAGGGAGACCTGAAATGGGAGGACTCTCTAATCTTGATCCTGCTGTGGATTTCTCCGCATGACCTTTGGCAAGCTCCTTTCCCCAACAATTTCCTCACTTGCAAAGCATCAAAAACACTCATCCCAGCAATTCCAATTCCATTACCTTTGTCATGCTCACTGCCAAAATTAAATAGTGTAACACCAGCATATCCTCCGTAATCCTCCCCATGACACCATCTCCAATATTCATTTACAAAGTGTTTCCCGG